AAGCCCTTGAGGAATTCCACCATGATTTCAACAATTTCCATCCCACCATCAACCTCAGCCTGGACCAGTCCACACAAGAGATCCACTTCCTGGACACTACAGTGCTAATAAACGATAGTTACATAAACGCCACCCTATACCAGAAACCTACTGACCGCTGTGCCTACCTACATGCCTCCAGCTTTCACCCAGACCACACCACATGATCCATTGTCTACAGCCAAGCTCTACGATACAACCACATTTGCTCCAACCCCTCAGACAGAGACAAACACCTACAAAATCTATATCAAGCATTCTTACAACTACAATACTCACCTGCTGAAGTGAAGAAACAGATTGACAGAGCCAGAAGAGTACCCAGAAGTCACCTACTACAGGACAGGCCCAACAAAGAAAATAACAGAATGTCACTAGCCGTCACCTTCAGCCCCCAACTAAAACCTCTCCAACGCATCATCAAGGATCTACAACCTATTCTGAAGGACAGCCCATCGCTCTCACAAATCTTGGGAGACAGGCCAGTCCTTGCTTACAGACAGCCCCCCAACCTGAAGCAAATACTCACCAGCAACCACACAACAGAACCACTAACCCACAAACCTATCCTTGCAACAAAGCCCGTTGCCAACTGTGTCCACTTATCTATTGAGGGGACACCATCATAGGGCCTAATCACATCAGCCACACTATCAGAGGCTTGTTCACCTGCACATCCACCAATGTGATATATGCCATCATGTGCCAGCAATGCCCCTCTGCCATGTACATTGGTCAAACTGGACAGTCTCTGCGTAAAAGAATAAATGGACAAATCAGATGTCAAGAATTATAACATTCATAAACCAGTCGGAGAACACTTCAATCTCTCTGGTCACTCGATTTCTGACCTAAAAGTGGCTATTCTTCAACAAAAAGACTTCAGAAACAGACTCCAATGAGAGACTGCTGAATTGGAATTAATTTGCAAATTGGATACAATTAACTTAGGCTTGAATAGAGACTGGGAGTGGTTGAGTCATTACACAAAGTAAAACTATTTCCCCTTGTTTATTTCCCCCTCCCCCACTGTTCCTCAGACGTTCTTGTTAACTGCTGGAAATAGCCCACCTTGATTTTCTCCCCCTCCCCCACTCTCCTGCTGGTAATAGCTCATCTTAAGTGATCACTCTCCTTACAGTGTGCATGATAAACACCCATTTTTTCATGTTCTGTGTGTATATAAATCTCCTCACTGTATTTTCCACTGAATGCATCCGATGAAGTGAGCTGTAGCTCACGAAAGCTTATGTTCAAATAAATTGGTTAGTCTCTAAGGTGCCACAAGTACTCCTTTTCTTTTTGCGAATACAGACTAACACGGCTGCTACTCTGAAACATTTCAGATAGTGTTATTCAGCCCAGGTTGAGGAAAAACCACACACAAAACAAAAGGTTTTTAAACAAACCATGAGTACTATTTCTTAGCCTACACGACAGCTAAAGGCCTCCATTAAGTGAACAAAATAGCAGACTACTCACTTCGTATGTGATATAAAAAGAAATTTCTGGCACATACCTACTTTCTGGAGGAAAAGCGGGGTGGGTGGGTGGTGGGATTTTTTTGGTATGGCTCAGAACACCTGGTGGCTGATTGTTAAATGAGAATAATTAGCTTCCAATTAACACCCATTACATTTTCCCCTGTTTCACTTGCAAATGTCTGGAGTTCCTAGATTGTGCAATTAGCTTCCTCCAAATTACCCCCATTCTCCCAGCAGGTCCTAGGGAAGCAACCACACTACTAAATAATTAACCCTTTGCCTGCCAGTTTTCCAGGCTCCCACCTCCACTAGCATTAGAAATTTCCTTTATGAGCTCACAGGGAGAAGGATGAATCTTGTACCTTTACATCCTTATCTGAGACAGCTAATACATACCCACATACAACTTGATATACTATAAATTCATCTCTGACTGAAATATTCAGGTTGTGGCATCATAAATCCTCACCTCTAGAAGGAAAAAGCAGACGGTTTGCTATGTCATCCTTTACAGAAACTAAACAGGCCGCTGCTGACAGAACGTTAAATTTCTTTGTGCAAGGGAAAAAAAGTTGGATAATTTTTCACTTTAAAACATTTTGTATATGAAGTCCCTGATCCTGTCCTCCCTCCCCCAGCATCATAGTCTGAGCAAAGCTTTTAGCAAGGAAATTACTGATTTAGACAATCTCAGACTTTAAGGCCAGAAGGCACCATCATGACCATCTAGTCTGACCTCCTGCACATTGCAGGCCACAGAAACTCATCCATGCACTCCTGTAATAGACCCATAACCTCTGGCTGAGTTACTGAAATCCTCAAATTGTGATTTAAATACTTCAAGTTACAGAGCATCCACCATTTACACTAGCTTAAATCTGCAAGTGACCCATACTCCATGCTGCAGAAGAAGGCGAAAAACCCCAGGGTCTGTCTGTGCCAATCTGACCCAGGGAAAAAAATCCTTCCTGCCCTAAATATGGTGATCAGTTAGACCTTGAGCATGTGGCAAGACCCACCAGGCAGACACTGGGAAAGAATTCTCTGTAGTTACCATCAAAGCCCTCTCCATCTAGTGTCCCCTCACCGGCCATTGGAGATATTTGCTGCTAGCAGACACAGATGGGCTACATGCCATTCTAGGCAGTCTCATCATACCATCTCCTTCATAAACTTATGAAGTTCAGTCTTGAAGCCAGTTAGATTTTTTGCCCCCACTAGCATTAGAAATGGCATTAGAAATTAGAAATAGAATCTTGGAATGCTGTTCCAGAACTTTACTCCTTTGATGGTTAGAAACCTTCGCCTAATTTCAAACCTAAACTTTTTGGTGGCTAGTTTATATCCATTTGTTCTTGGTGCTTAACTTGAAGAGCTCCTCTCCTTCCCTGGTATTTATCCACATGATATATTTAGAGAGAGCAATCATATTTCCCCTCAGCCTTCTTTTGGTTAGGCTCAACAAGCTTTCATTAGGTAGGTTTTCCATGCCTTGGATCATCCTAGCAGCCCTTCTCTGCACCTGTTCCAGTTTGAATTAATCTTTCTTAAACATGGAGACCAGAACTGCACACAATATTCCAGATGAGCTCTCACCAGTGCCTTGTGTAATGGTACTAACACTTCCCTATCTCTACTGGAAATACCTTGCCTGACGCATTCTAGGACTGCACTAGCCTTTTTCATGGCCACATCACACTGGTGGCTTAGAGTCATCCTGTGATCAGCCAATACACCCAGGTCTTTCTCCTCCTCTGTCACTTCCGACTGATAAAGCCCCAGCTTTTTATAAAAATAATTCTTGTGGTTAGTCCCTAAGTGCATGACCTTGCACTTTGCACTATTAAATTTCATCCCATTTCTATTACTCCAATTTTCAAGGTCATCCAGATCTTCTTGTATGATATTCCAGTCCTTGTCTGTATTGGCAATATTCCCAACTTTGTGTCATCCACAAAATTTATTAGAACAGTCCCACTTTTTGTGTGAAGGTCATTAATAAAAATGTTTTACATAAAATTGGTCCCAAGACCAATTCAATAGTAACCTCCTTCCAGCCTGACAGTTCAGTTTTCAGTATGACCCGCTGTAGTCTCCCCTTTAACCAGCTCCTTATCCAGCTTTCAATTCTCATATTAATTCCCATCTTCTCTAATTTAACTATTAATTTTCCATGTGGGACTGTATCAAATGCCTTACTGAAATGCAGATATATTAAATCTACTACATTTCCTTGGTCTAAAACAGTTATGTTTTCAAACGAGGAGATCAGGTTGGCCTGGCACAATCTACCTTTTGTAAAACCATGTTGTATTTTATCCCAATTACCACTTACATCTATGTCCTTAAACTACTTTCTCTTTCAAAATTTGTTTATCCTCTTTACCTAATCCCTCTCCCACAAATATGCAGCAGCTGAGGCCATCACAGCATTTATATGAAGTACAGACATTTATTTTTAAGTTATACTAGCCAAGACACAGAAGAGGGGATAGAAGCCCAAGTTCTCAGAGGTATTTAGGTGCCTAACTCCCACTGAAATAAATAGGAGTTAAGTGCCTAAATACCTTTGAGGATATGGATTGGGAAGCCTAATCCTGCAACCATTACTTCCACATTTGATTATATGTTTACTTGCAATATGTATTATTCATCCACTAGCTGTCTCTGTGTATTGTACAGAGCATAGCATCAGTAGGATCAGTACAGTAAATAAGGTCTGGATGTGTGAGGGTGGATCGGTCCTATAATTGTCATGCTTCAAGGCACATTGGATCAAGAATATCTTTCCTCTCACATGATAATTTTGCATGAGCTAGGTGCATTATTGGATTCTACCAGATCATCAGTCTATCATTACTTTCTTCAAGGATAGTGAGGGCCCACAATATGTAACCTGCTGTACCTTAACAAAAGAAGAGAATATGTAACACCCAATAATGCAGCAAAACAAATTATTGCTGAATATTCACCTTTCATCTATTACTCTCAGTGACCACAACATGCTGAATTAATAGCATTAATAAGAAAAACTTATTTTTCTTTTTTTTTTTAATTTGTTGACCTAGATGGCCTTTCCAACTAAATGAAATGCCTGAAGTTCAAAACCATTCTCCTCGCTAGCCATGGCTAGAATCCTCGCTTCTCCGGCCCCTCCTCTGTGCTGGGCCGGCGGGCTTTTCCCCACCCGCTCCCCTTCTCCCTCCCTCCAGCCCTGCTGCCCCAGCCTCAGGGAGCGCAAAGCGGCACAGACCCGGCCCACTGCCGCCCAGAGTGGAGTTCCTCCCTGGACTCTGCCTGCCTGCGCCGCTCCTCCATTGGGGGCCAGGCCAGGAGGAGCAAAACTTCCATGTGAGTCAGCAGGGGTGGGAGGGAGAAGGGGGGGGACTTAAAGTAACAGTGTGCTCACTGTCTCTCACAGTTCGCTAACACACACTCATACTCTCTCTCTCTCACACAAACAGACTGGCTCTCACATCCACATATACTCTGCCTCATTCTGCTTCAAGCAGAAGAGCTGGCCTGGGTCATCATGGATCTGATGCTGCAAGGAACAAAGCAATTCTTCCTTCACTACAGAGAGAATTAAGGGCTCCTCAGTACTTCACAGGCAGTACACAGACTTTTGAGGATCAGGCCCGATATAGTCTTACAGAGAATAAGGAGAGTCTTCTGATTAAAGTCCTGCCCTGAAACTACAGCTGCATAATCCTGGGTAAGTCATTTAGAGCCTGATCAAGCTCTTGGCATTTCTGGACCTCAGTTTTCTGTGTGTAAAACAGGGATTATAGTAGTTCCCTAACTCACAGGGGTGTTGCAAAAGTAAATTCATTAACATCTGAGAGGCGGTTGGATAGCGTGATGACGGGAGAGCCATATAGTACCTTTAGGTATTAAAATAAAAACAAATAAATCTCACTTTTCCATGGATTAAGCACAGAGTCTTAAACAGCACTAACACTTGGGCCCTGTGCCAGCCATAGATATCTAATCATAAGTCAACTTTGCAACCTATATAGTTTACACTAGCTTGGCAATCTGGACAATAACCTTCTGGGATCCAACATGCCCCATCTCCTGGCTTTACAGTTGACAGCTCAGAGCAGAATTTTCACTGAGATTTCAGTGCTGAGATTTCACTCCCAAACTAACTAGCAAAGAAAGTCAGCACATCACATTTCTTGTCTGCTATAACTTCCAGCCTGGACAATCATTGTAAATTCCCAAGGGGAAAAAAAAACCCAATATAATTTGAAAAGAATACAACCAGTAGCTTAATGGATGCTAGCCTATTTGCTGCCAGAACTCTGGCTTGATTTAGCTCTGATTAAAGTGACTAATGTCAATATAATTAGATACATATAGGTAACAGCCCGATGAAGAACACCAAGAAAGACTTAAGCTTGCCTTGAAAAAAATATTTTACTGTCTCAAGCTATATAGTAAAAAAGTTAACCATAGGACTGCTCTGCAGGGAGCTGCTGAGCTAAAGGCTGAGAATTTAAGTTGCTTGCAAAGTATATACAGAAGAAAATATTCAGACAATTTATTCAATACATTTCCCCTCTTATTACAATGACCTCTTCTTTTCAGCAAGTATGTTCCGACTTGGCTTTATTTAAGAAGCTGATGACTATTTGTACATTGGTATAAAATCTACCTTGACCTGCTTGTTGTTTACCAGTCTATTTCAATTGCCATGCTTCAAGCTGCCTGATAAATTATTCAAACAAAACCCAAGCTTTGTAAACTTCAATTGAGCCAGGGCCTCAGAGCTGAAGAAAGCACTTTCTCCAAGACACAGCCATAATTCACGCTTCTGCTTTCCCAATCACTCACAATTGCTGTTTTCAGCGTAGAAGGTTAGCCAGTGTGTGTGTTAAAACTAGCAGCACCAGGTCACCTGTCTTGCCACCAAAATACCTTTCAATCTCTGTCTGAGGGTGCTACTGCAAGAAATTAGCCTTGTTACTTCTCAGTCCAGTGATGCATTTAGAGTGGATAGCTCTGTCATTGCCGTGTCCACATTGTAATATGCTGAGTGTATCTTGCTAAATGTCACATTTAGATACCATCTGTCATTTTTCAGTAGATGAAATATATGTTCTGCCTTGTCCTTTGTTCTCCAACAGGAGATGTCAGCATGCTGACAATGTCGACTACCTTATATACTTCATTCAAAAGGTCAAGGTAAGCCCTGAGGAGGATCACAAGTCATTGAAAAGCATGCTTCATATACTCCTCAAGGTAACCATTTGTGGATACTAACTAACATAATATACATTACAATTCTTGTAATGGAAATCGACATTGTAACACTTGCTGTAATTGTATGAGTAACGTAGAAAATCTTACGCTAACTTCCAGAGGTAAAACAGACTGTGCACAATCAGGGAGTGGAGGTACAGTAAATTAAATTAGTCACACCGGAGTACACAGGTTCAAGCTCTGGGTTAGGGCACAAGTGAATCAGAGTTTGAGAGCTCTCGTTACACATATTATACCAGCTAAATGAATACCTGTCTAGAATGACTTCATGATTCTACTGTGGTCTTATTCCGAACATTAATATTTGGCACTAGCTTCAGCAGCTTCTCTTTTCATAGAATCCTAGAAATTAGAGATGGTCAAGACCTACAGTATTAAATCATCCTGTCCATCCATCCCCCTGAAACTGAACGATTGTTTTGTAGTACAGTATGTTGATGAGCATTTTGTTCTGTCACTACTACTCTTAAGGGCACATTTTTCTAGTCCAGAAAACATCATTGTTAAGGAATACGCCTTGGTATTTCCTTTTATATGAATTTTTGCTACTTTTCATTCCATTACTCTTTATTTTATCCCCTTTGCCCTAGGCAACAAATCTGGCCCAAGAGAACTTTTCTTCCTTCTTGGTCTTTACATCCTTCAAACTCTTCCCTCTTTTTTTGTCAGATTAAATGTATTTGACTCTTTAATATTTCTCTATAAAATCAATTCCTTTGGTGCCCTTGGCATGTTTGTTGTTCTTTTCTAAACAAACTCAGTTTTCAAAATGTTTTTTCTGGCTCAGAAGCAGCCAGAACCGTACGTGGGATACAATTTTCAGAATGCTGAACTTCCATTGACTTTTAATGAGACTTAGAAGCCTAAGTGATTTTGATGAAAAGAAAAAAGCTACCTTTTGTTTTCTATGTATGCACTTGCCTGTCTATGGCCTCTCAGTTCTAAGACAATTGTCTTCAAACGTTTCCATAACTCCACTAGTCTGCAGTCTTACTCTTCATTGTGAGCCTAACAGTTACATTCACAAAGAATCATCCTTCTTTAAGTGGTGAGTTTTGAACTGGGGGTCATTGCAACATGAGGAAAAACCTCTCAGTGTTATTAGCTTCCTTACGATTACATAGCTTTTCGCCAACGGGGCTCAGAAGGGACAGACAGAATTCAGTTCAGTCCTCAGATACACGTCCCCACTGAACTCATAGGAGTTGGATAGAAGTCAGCATCAGCACAGGGTGCCAAGATCATTCTCCGTATGACTGCACTGAGATGAATTTGGACCAGTGAGATTATATTTCTGCTGCTATATCACATAATGTAGTGTACACATAACTCTGAATAATGAATAAAGTGTACTTAATATTTTTTTCCCATAAGCCATTCTCATGGGGCAATGACTCACCGGTGCAGCGCTCCTCTTGGTCATCCTGGGATTTAGCTCTTCCGGCCAGGAGCACCTTCTGCAGGCCAGTGTCTTGCCTGCCGCTGGCCCGCCGTGTCCCTCCCGGACCCCGGTGCCCTCCTTGTCAGGGTTCTGCCCCAGCAGTAACCCACAATCCGAGTCTCCCCACCCAGGGGATCCCTCAACCCTCTACCCCCACCTTGCCTCAGTGGCCACTGCCAGTCACCATCTAGCCCCCGCACCCTGGGGCAGACTGCAGTCTGTCATGGCCACTCATCATCGGCAAGGGGGGTTGGCCCAGCTGCCTCTCTCTGGGCTGCCCCTCTCCAGCCCCAGTACCCTTTCATAGGCCTTTCACTAGGCCCGCAGCCTGGGGCTTTGCTAGGCTGGAGCTCCCCCTGCCCTTCCCCAGCACAGCTCCACTTCAGATACCTTGCTAGTACCTTTTGTGTGTCCTTAACTAGGCCTGCAGCCTGGGGGGTTTGCTCGGCTAGAGCTCCCCAGCTCCCTCTGCCCTTCCACAGCACTGCTCCACCCTAGATACCCTTCTTAGCTTCCCAGGCAGCCAGGTCCTTCTCTCTCCAGGAAACGGTCTTTGTCCTTGGCCCTCAGCCCTCTTATAAGGGCCAGCTGGGCCCTGATTGCATTGGCCACAGCTGTGACTGCTTTCCCAATCAGCCTGCTTTTCCCATTCACAGCCCTCTCCCAGGCTGCTTTAACCCCTTCAGGGCAGGAGCAGGCTAGTCACCCCACTACAGCCATAATTAAAATGTGGCTAAAAACCTAGGATATCTAATGTGAGCTGTGATTCTGAGGAACATTGAGCTTTAGCCAATTGGAATGACCAAGAAAGAGAATCCCTGAACCTTGAACCTAAACTGCACTATAGTTTAATTTGAAAGATTTAGATATTAAGATTAGATTTTCAAGAGTTCAGAACCCACAACCGGAGCTAAATAAGAGTTCACACACCCAGCAGCTCCCATGGTGACCTTGTGGCCAGCTTTTCATAAGAGCTCAGTACCAGCTAAGAAAGGAGCTATTCTGAATATCAGGCCTTTACAGAAATAACACTGCCCTACCCAAACCATTCATTTTCAAAAGGAATGTAAGTGAATTGAGTGTCTAAGCCCCTTAGGCTGCTTTGAATATTCAACTCTATATTCTTATCTACAATGATATTGGACAAGCTACCATCATGCCTCCATCACACACACCTGCAAACCTGTATCTGTATACACCTCTAAATTTACTAGTAAGTATCCTCATAAAAGAAATTAAATAAATTAAAGCAGAGAAAAATAAAATCTCTAAACAAGGTATAATAAGCCTGAGCAGTCTGGCATTCTGTATACCTCAGAAATTTCAAATGGGTACCATATGGAGGAATAAAAATTCTTAATGAAAATTACTGATTTTTACATTAAGAATGGCCCTATAAGGCACTTTGAAATGTATGAACTTGTCAGAGATAAATCTGCTCTGCACCAATCAATCCCTATAAAGTGCACTAAAATGAATACCTGCTACAGTGGTATACAAGTTAAAGAAACATTTATTTAACATCAAGACTATGCTTTCAGAGAGGTCTCCACAGTCTCGCCACCTAATTAAAAAAGCATCCCTTGGCCTCAGAACAGATTTCATTTGCATGCCTCAGTGAACGTAATCCATAAATGGCAAGACCGCTACACAAATTAAAATAAAATATTTAAGCACTAAATCTCTTGACTCTTGCTGTCACTCAGCCAGGGCTCTTAATGTTTCCCCATAGAACAGGAACTGCAGTGGAGTCAAAAGTGTACGTCTGTACTTTTCAGCCGCTGCTGCTCTGTTAGCATTGCTGGGTCAAACTCATCCCTGAAGTCACTCAATTCAAGTCAGTTGAGTGATCCTACTGATGTTTTATGTGTAGTCAAGGGAAAGCAATTGATCTGGAGGAAGGCATATTCAACTCAAATAGTTACTGTATGTTTAAAATTGTGACACCCTATGAACTTTAACAAATTTACCCGCTTATCTTTGTGCATGCCCCCATATCTTATTTGTTTCCCCTCTTCTTCAGAGTTGCCTTCCCACATAACTAATTGAGAGATGGCACCAAAGAAATGCCTGCCAGAGCTTATACGTACATTGGTAAACAACTGAAATTCTCTTTAACTCAGGTAGTCAGCGAGTCTGCAAATTCCTTCCATGAAAACCTGCATTAAAATATATTATTTACTGCCCTGAAGGACAAAAGCTGACATAAAACCAGCTGTGAACATTCCGGATAACTCTATTCTATTTCCAGTTACTCATATGAGCATCATGTACTAATGGACTGCTACAACTTTAGCACATACCATATAGAGCTATTAGAGCTAATGATTCTGGGATACCATACATCATTAGCTTTAATACTCAGCTGGTACAGCGCTCCAAAGATTTCTACTGTCATGCAATCGCATCCTGAGAATGTAAAATTGAAAAGTGGGGCCACCTGAGGATCTGCAAAGACAGAGTAAGGAAAATGACTGCTCGGAAGAGGGTTCCACTCCAATCCGCCACATAATTAAAGCTCCCCAGATGTTTACAGTTCTATTTAGCTCAGCTGGTAAAGCTGAATGTTACAATAGTCTCATCATTTGAAATGCAACAGAATCACACACACAGGTTTTGATAATGTTTTGTTTTTTTCCTTGCTGTTCACCTATTTTTGTTCCAGATGTTCTTTTGCGTCTTTGTTGCTCCACGCCTATATTTATTTCATACACTGCAAACTGTCTCCTTCAAACACTTGACATCTTTGCTTTTGGCTGGCTCAAAGTTACTATTATCTATTTGTGACTTCTTTCAGACATGCTCAGCATTTGGGGCCAGCTCCTGCCAGGTTCCTCCTCTGCTGAGTGCTCTACAGCCAACTGTCATTAATTTTTAGTGGACACTGATGGGCCTCAGCACTTCAGAGACAGTGCACAGTGTTTTGCATGACCAAGACCTTAGAAAAAATAAAGCAAATATCCAAAAGACTCCTATCTGTGTGATTAGCTCTATGTACAATGATCAGTTCAGATTCCATAAAGAATCATCCCTATCTGTGGAAATAAATAAGTTGTCTTAACCAAAGGGCTAATGCAAATATGTACAGATATACCCTGGTGCAAAGCAGCCCTAAATTCAGGGGATCCAGCTCTTGGAGAATCCCCCTGTTTAGGGAAAAATATTCAGATAAGAACCTCTAAAGTGGCCTCTATATTACGTCACCCAACCCTCTGTGGCATGTAGTAGGAAGCTGTCCAGGGGATGAGAGCCCTTGAAATAGGTTAGAGCATCTTTCAGGCTGCTTAATCTGTGCAAGGGGACCAGCCCAGTGCAGAGTGGCCCAGGGTTGGGGGAACCTCAGAGCATCTTTGTACCTTCCCAAGCTGTGCTGTGTGCTCCATGCCCACACCCAAGGATTAAGCCCATTAGCTATTACTACCACAAAATAACACATTTACAGCAAATTTCCTTCTCAAAGCCACCTACTGCCATGTTTCCGACATCCCATTCGACACTGTAATCGACAAAAAGATCAGTGTTCAATCCTTCTTGCACC